CAGATTGTCAAAAATCTTTTGAAGAAATTAAGAAAATATTGTGTTCACAGCCAATTTTAGAAATATTTGATCAGAATTTACCTATCAATATTCACAAAGATGCATCTTTAGAGGGTATTGGGGCAGTGTTAAAACAAACACAACCAAATGGAAAAGATAAGCCAGTGGCATATTTCTCAAAAAAATTAAATCAAATACAAAAGAAAAAAAAGGCAGTTTATTTAGAATGCTTTGCTATAAAAGAAGCAGTAAGATACTGGCAATATTGGTTAATTGGTAAGTCTTTTACAGTATATACTGACCATAAACATTTGGAAAACTTAAATATTAAGTCTAGGACAGATGACGAGTTAGGAGATCTAACATATTATTTATCACAGTATGATTTTACAATTAAATACGCTCCGGGAAGAGAAAATATAGAAGCAGATTGTTTGAGTAGAAAATGCGAAAATGCAGATGAACAATTAAAAATTGTAAACATGATAAAATTAAATGATATCGTTACAGATCAGGTAAATAATGAAAACATTCAAAATAACAAATCAAAACTAATATTAAGACACAATGTTTACTATAAAAAGGTTAGGAAACATGAAAAAATTATTTTATCAGAAGATTTCAGTAAAAAACTCATTAAAAATGTACATGAAAATATGTGTCATTTAGGTGTAAAACAAATGCAAAACAAAATAAGTACACTGTATACAGCAAAAAATTTATCGATAAATATTAAAAGACATTGCAAAAAGTGTGAGATATGTATAAAAAATAAAACTAGAGGACAGGATAAATTTGGTCTAATGTCACATTTAGGTCCTGCCACAAAACCTTTAGAAATAGTCTCAATAGATACGATTGGAGGTTTTGGAGGCTCACGATCAACGAAAAGATATTTACACCTTCTAGTGGACCACTTTACCCGGTATGCTTATATTGTTACTTCAAAAACACAGAGTGCTAATGATTTTATTAAATTAATCAATAATGTAACGAATTCTGATAAAATTGGATTGCTTTTCACCGATCAATACCCGGGAATCAACTCAAAATAATTCAAAACATTTTTAAATGAAAAATCTATAGCAATGATCTTCACAGCAGTAAATGCCCCGTTTTCTAACGGGTTAAATGAAAGACTCAATTAAACGCTAGTAAATAAAATCAGATGTAAAATAAACGAAAAAATAATAAAATGGCATGGACAACCATATATCTGTGTATATATCTGTGTACAGAACTATAATAATACAGAACATACAGTTACTGGTTTTACCTTTTGGATGGTACAGATGTTTCTTTATTGCCAAATGAACTAAAAAAGGATAAAACAGAAGTTGATTGGATAAGAGATAGAAAAATAGCATTTCAAAATACAATTACACATAACTACAATAAACAAATCTTTGATAAAAATAGAATTGAAATTAATTTCAATACAGGGGATATGGTATACGTTGAGAATGGGAACAAACTAAATAGAAACAAATTAGATGAGCTGAAGATTGGTCCATTTAAAATCATTGAAAAAATATCAAATTCAATATAGAGAATTAATACAGGTTATAAAAAATTAGAATAAAATCTCTTTCATATCACAAAACTTATACCAATGCCTACATAAAAACAGAAATAATGTTATAAATATAAAGACATAATTAAGACAGACTAAATATTATTAAATTTAATATAATACTGTAATATATAGAGATTAATTAGTAGAAAATTTTTGCGAAAATTTTCTTGTTGGAGGAGGGAGATGTAAAGAAACTATATTTCTTTAATATGTACAGCGCTCTTCTGTCAGTGACCATACTCATGTACGCTATAGATGGCTCTGTGAGTAATGGCGGTCAACTTTGTCGGGAAAGCAGCTTATATATGGATAGACAGATGAGTTGTGATGGAGCATAATTATTTTTAGTTAATAAAAATTGTATAAGAAGGAATTGATAATTGGAAGAATAGACTTTAAATGTCGTTTCTTTGTTTTCAGGTAGGATAGTATGATTTAATCTAAAAGTGTAATTATAATTATGTGTATGTAAAATTTGAAATAAAATCTTTGTTTTCAGAGTAACACGATTGTTTATTTGACATTTACAATTCCTAATAAGTTTGGAGTTATTGTCTTATATATATGTATATTTGTTTTCACGTCAATACATTTTTCTTTAACGCGTATTTACGAATACGAGGAACACAATAACATCTGGAAAGATTAATGTATGGGGAAGATGTTGTAAAAGGAAACATGGTACGTTTTTTCTTCCAATAATATCCATGACCGTCTGGAGATCCTGGTGGATAACAATGAATTAAAAATGATTGTGAAACCAGTTCCATCCCAATTGTAAGTGGTCATGGTAAATAGATCCCGTTCGATAAAATCGGAAATGCTCATCACAGCATTCGAACCCAGGAGCTTAGTCCTATTGGAAGCGAACGTTGACTGAGAAAAAGGTATTGGAGAGTGTTTGGTGGAACAGTGCTGGTATCATAATTTCTTAAGAAGACATAACTTCTTAAGAGCTGGCCAGATGATTACGGCAGATCTGTATTGTCAACAATTGCAAACCATGATGGAAAAGCTCGCTATTTAACAACCGAGATTGGTTATCTACCTTACCCCACTGTTGATTAAAAAGTAAAAGTTAAGTATCAGCCTATACATATCTCACTGCTGGGCAAACCCTCCTTTGTACAAAGGATATTAGAACATAGTCCATCACGCGACTCCACTGCGGATCGGTGGAATTCTCATATCTTCGAAATTTTTTTTTGTTATTATTTCGAAAATATGCAGGTTTCCTCACGACGTTTTGCTTCACCGCTGAGCAAATGATAAGTCAGCACTTAAAATTGACAATTGCATTCGTGCTGGCACCGGGAATGTCTCCGACACCCACCATATTCCCTAAACTTTGTGCCAACGGATTACCTCTTTTTTCGCAATAAGTAGAATTTCTTACAAGGAAAAAAAAATCCGACAGGGCAGTCCAAATTGCCTTTAAAGACTTTGATTCTCGCTACCATAATTATTGAAATTAATGAATGGAAATTGTATCAATTAGCTTTCGATAAATAGCGAAAGAGCATATATCGATTAATTAAACATATAACGATTTTTTTTTCGTTTTGCTATGTATATAAAAAGCCAATTCAGATATTCAATCAAAACAAATTCCATAAAACAGAATCAATTTCAAGTAAGGACCTAATATTATATCAAACTAGCTGACCTGGCAAACGTTGTTTTGCCATAAAAATTATTTGTAGGGTAGAAAGAAATGTTTGGGGTGGACCACCCTGAACATTTAAGGGGATGAAAAATAGGGGGATGAATAATAGAATAGATGTTGTCCGCTTCTCTACCCTGGCCGATAAGCACTCAAAATTTTACGAAAATCGCTCGAGCCTTTTCGGAGGAGTTCAATTACAATCACCGTGACACGAGAATTTTATATATTAGATAATACGCTGCTCACTCAGGTCAATATAAAAATCACATTTAAGCATTTCACATTAAACAACAGAAAGTTAAAATACTGTTTTTGAATCAAGCAATGTTTAAGCATGTAGTTTTTGTTTAGAACGCTGAAAATAATACAGTGAGCGATATTAAAAATTCTATAGCAATCTTCGATGTTGAACCAGACGGAGTCCGTGCTCGGGGCGTTGTAGTTTAAACAGAAATAATCCTAAGTCCATAAGAGGCTGTAGAACTGCATACTACAATGCTTTCTTTAATAAGAAACGTGCTTAGGTAGTTGATGCAGTAAGAAACTTTATAATCTTTTTAAAAAATGCTTGATATCGTGTCAATGAATCTATGATTTGCACCAAAATTTTTTTTACTTGCTTATAAACATATGACATACAAATATGAAGTAGATATGACTCTAGTGAACAGAAATGAACTGAAATTACAGCAATTGGTGTAATTAGATTGCAATTCTATAAACTGCTATCTATTTCCCTATTATAAGTTTTATATCAACTGTAACTAACATTCGCTTATATACATCATATAATGTAAAGCGGAACAATTTTTAAAAGCCGCGCAATATAGACATGCGTCATCTATATTTTTTTAACTTTATTGGCTTGTCAAGACCATAACCAAGTCGCGGGCATATACTAATTATAAACTAGAACGGAAAAAAATGTATGTATAACATAATTAGGCTCCTTATGAAAAAAATATTTTTACGCTTTTTAAAATGACTCAGTTTTTTCTGCATTAAGCCCGCTGTTTGTACCAGTTAGTACATAAAGTGTGCAAACATTTATAAGCCTTTAATAGTTGACGGCTTTCGGTTCAGATTTCGATGGGCTTCAAAGGATGTTTCTCCTCTGATTTCGGCCATTTCTGAGCCGATTTTCATAAAAAATTTCTTTATCATTGGGTTCGGGTTACCTCCCATGTGGTCCCATATGATATTAGACCTTGGACTCTCTTAAAATTAAATAGAAAATGAAGAGTGAGTGAAATATTTGCAGTTGGTATTGTTTATTGTTAATGAAAAAAATCTTTATAAAAAAAAGAACAAGACCGCAGAGCTTCTTGCCGGTTCTTCTCTGTGCAGGTCTAGTTTAGTAAAGCGGTGGTAGATTTTTTGTTGACGTTCAATAAGAGCTAAGTTAGGCCTATTTTGAATAAATATACTTTGACTTTGACTTTGACTTTGACTTACTTGTTATATGTATATAGACATTTCTTATTCGTGATAAACTTGAAAAAAATGCTACTTCACAACAAAACAAACAAATTAATCATTGTTTTTAAGATTCAAGTGGGACACAATTGTATTTTTTGAAACATCCAGTTTTTCTATTGTTGGATTACAATGAATTATCTGTTGTTTCAGGTACCTGTGAATTGCGAGGCCTCGTATGCGTGCTATTCGGTTGTTTAATGTAATGTTTTAAAATCATGGCATTGCGTCGTGTAACGTTTATAGTGCTGTGCTAGTTCGATGAAATGCCGTGTCGATAATATGGGTGTGCTCGCGTTACTCTTGATCGGCCTTGTGGGTTCGGGGCTGGGTCAGAATTGTAGGGAAGAGGAGCCACGGGAGAGGGAGTGCGAGAACGTGTGCAGGGGAGACGGAACATGCAAGATAAGGGCAGCGCTGCTGCTGCCCAAAAACACGACATTCGATGCGTCCCTGCCAGTTGTAAGTGAATTTGTTTTTGTTATTCGGGCAAGTTAACCCGTTTTTAGTGATCGTCTAGAGGCATTAAATTGGATAACTTGTGCGTCTCATTTGATTAATGAAACACATGATCCAAGGTAACGCGCGAAAATACCCAGTGACCCTACCGTTTAAAAATATATCTGAGTGTGGCCTATGTTAGGGCCACGCAACGTGCAGTACTTTGCTCCATTACACAGTAGTACTCCAGTAATAGTATAGTAAATTAACATCCTATAACTAAACTAACTAAAATAACATCTGGGCAGAGGATATTAGGGCATACTACACGCGGTCCCACTGCGAATTGGTGAACTTCACATATCTTCGAAAATTTTGTTTATTATTTTGGAAATATGCACATCTCCTCGCGACGTTTTGCTTAACCGCTAAGCACGTGATAAGTCAGCACTTAGTGTGGTAGGGCCCGCAGCAGCCTCAGCTGTTGCACGAATGGGCAGGCTCGTCACCACGACCTCATAGAAAACCGGCGTAAGTGGAAGTATGACAAATACTTTCGCGTTTCGTCCGGTGAGTGAGGTAGCCGGAGCCCAATTTTCAAAAGGTTGTCAACGCATCTGTAACCCGCGGGTGTAGCAGATGTCCATGGGCGGCGGTATTCACTTAACATCAGGTGAACCGCCTGCTCGCTTGTCAACTTTTCACATTAAAAAAAAAGAAACAAAATACTAAAATTAACAATTTCATTGGTGCGGGCACCGGAAATCAAACTCTGGTTGCTCTAGTATATTAAATTAAAGGCGAGTGCACCGACACTGAGCTATTACGGCGGAGCATTAAAAAGAACAAAATTTAAACGTTCACAGATGCGCTTTTCCTACCTTTCAAAGATTGCGCTTCGTATACCTCAAAAGGTTACCTCACTAGTAATATACTTTACTGTACTTTTACTTCACGTTTGTTTGTCAGAGCGTGATAAGATGATCCTGCTAATTTATGCAGCAGAAGAAGACACTGCGACATCTCCCATAGATAACTCTGTCAAGACGAGCATAATTTTGAAAAATAAATTGGTGCTCGTGTCCCTCCATTATGAATCTTCATCATTCATAATGATGAAGATTTCAAGCGATCAAGCATTTAAAGGTGACTGTCCTTACCGGCACAAACAGCTGAATCAACAGATGCATGTGTTATAATCCGGATAATTAAGTTGGGCATTCCAAACGAATTGACATAGAAACGAAAATTTTCATAATTTTATTCCATATAGAGTTCTGTTCAGTTTTTCTGTTTAAAGTAATGGTGTGATGCCTCGTACAGGTCGAGCCGGTGTTCGAGTTGGCAATGCAGGACGATGTGGTGCGTGATGCGTTTCCTTCGTGGGTAGATTTCGAATGGAGGAGGTATGACGTCAGCGACTGCGACGCCGCCTACGCCGTCATCACGGCAATAGATGCGTACAACGACTGTTCTCACGTCTTCTTTGGGCCCTCGTGTGACTTCGCTCTAGGTGAGTAACCTAACACAATAGACTGTAACTTGAGCTTTTACGAGTAGTTTAATGTTAATGGATGATGTCATTTTTTTGTTGAAAGAAGATGGCAAGCGAGCTGGCGGTTTTCTGATGTCAAGTTCAAGTTCATGGAAATTCATGGCAACACCCAATGTAAGGTTAAAATGTGTTGCCATCTTTTAATAAAGTGGACCCCGGCTACCTCAGAAACCAGACGAAATGCCGAAGTATAACACTTCCACTTCACGTGGGTTAAGGACGCACCTGCCTATTAGTGCTACAGTGAAGACTGCAGCGTGTTCAATCTTTTTCTTTTCTTAAAGCAGATTTCATTATGAAGTTCTCGATAACATACACCGAATGAAGTTTGAATAGATTAATGACTGGTTAGTTTAGGACATTTCGATAATCCACATATTTCTAATTATAATTAAAATGGATAGGTTATTGATCTCAGTCTAATAAGGCTATTTAAATAAGCATTTCCAATGCAGTTAATTGGTGATTTTAATCAGCCTTCCTCTCTATCGTCATGTAAATAAATGTAAGTATAAATAAACTGATTTATCATTCCTATCTTAACTAACTAAACACAATTACTCATACGATGATACTAGATGATAGATTCAAATGCGAATGTTGCTATCGGTAGAGGCTTATTATGGTGTAATGAGTAATGGCATTTATAAAACATGTTACATATATGAGTCGTAATATTGAGTCGGTCCGTTGTTGCAGGCGAAATGTGAGATAGGGATTTATGCAAAAAAATACCACGAAACACGATTCTGAGCCACCTGCATCTATCAACCTCACGCACACTTGCAAAAGCCGTCACTCAATCCATTAAGGGGTCGTCCTACGCTACGATGGCCAATACGAGGCAACTTAAATAAATAAGTATTGAAAATTACTGAGATGTTAATCTAGGTTTTTTGATAATAACTCTCCATTATAAAGCCGTTATTAAAACAAAAGCCGTTAGCGACTTCATTAGTAATATTTAGATTTGTTTAAAATCAGAAAATGAGGAAAGCTTGAGATAGTAGACTAGACAAATATTGGAATAATTAGGAAAAAACTACATAACGATAGGAAGAACAGCAAACATTATAGATTAGGACAACATAAATCATTCTTTGACACGAAGACATTTCCTTCAGCGGTAGACAAATCAAAGGTGTTTTCTATTGGGAAGTTAAAATTGTTTTGATGGGAAAAATTTGCCTTTTTTTCATATGCTTATGTACACAGGGTCGTAAAAATTTCGGGTCACAAAGAAAAATCGCGTTATCTCCCAAGGTTTTATAAATAGATCGCTTGTATAAATACTTTGTTACAAGTAATCTACTTGTTTATAATGTTTGCTTGAATCTGAAAAGGTGCTTCACACAAGTTACAGCTTAATTGAACCGATTGGTATTATGAACAATTCCTTGAATTGCGCAAATTAATCAATTTAACAACAATTGCTTTCACATATGTACATAGATTGTTATTATGGCGCTGAAGGAAGTAGCTTGAAGAGATTGCTTACTCGTAGTGAAATTGGTTTATAAATTTCAATATCATATTTTATCGCTACTTTTATGCTCTCATCGTACTGTCAGCATGCTTCCAAATATTAAGTTCGAATTAATAGATAGTTAATAGTATTATTCCAAAGTTCGAAGGAAAACGATACGTTACGCTGCCGATTTAAAAAAGGTAAACCATGGAGCCATACAGTTAATAAGAAAAACATTTTTGCTAAAAATTTACTTTAAACTACATTACACATTTATTTTAAATTAAAATGAAAAGAAGAATAAATAAAATTTAAAAACAGTTATGTTAACATTAATTCGATCAATTAAAATTTTTAATATGAGCTTAAATAAATCATTCTGAAAAATTAAGGCAGCGGTCGTGACAATCTTATGGATAAGAACAACGCCATTCTTATCACAAACAAGATGATAATTACATTCTTGAGAAATATTGCGGGCTTGACGAAATAATTTCTTATTTTAATTCTTGTGAAGGGTAAGATATATTAATGAATATTTTATGAGGAGTTCCTTGTAAGTTCATTTCATTAGAGTTAAACCGCTGCAAAATCTTTATGGCAGGCTACAACGTAAAAGTGTTATAAACACAAATTATCTTTAACAGAAAAAAAAATCTATTTTCCCCTTTTTCTTCGAAGTCTTTCTATCAATATAATAAATACATCTAGTTTGATTATTTTTGTATCTACTAATGTTCTGATTTATTTGTAGTTGGTATTAGGCAATAGAGGTAAATGTTCGTACCTCAAAGTATTATACTTTCTACGGCTACGCTTCTTAAGGCAGATAATATTTTCGAAGCGCCGTTCTATAAAGAAAAAGACGTCATCGTAACAAATAAAGACCGCGTTCTAACAAATGATTATTTAAACAAGAAAAGAGAAATAAATTAAATCGTAGGATTAATGTAATATAGAAGTAATGAGTAGTCATTACTTCTATATTGATATTCACACGTTTATTTTAATAATAAGATGACTGCCACCGAGTCGTCTTATCATTGGCTAGATATCAGTTGGTATGCAATTAATGGGCTCGACAACGGGGGTTGTGGAGTCGATTCCTAAATGCTTCTAGTTAGAAGTGGGCGATACAAATCGTATCAGATATGAAATCTAGATATTAGTACAATATCCGAATATCGCTTACTGACTCGTTCAATATCTATGTATTTTACAATATCTGATATTTCCGAAATCTGATATACCGAATACTCGCTCGCTCACTATACCGACACGAATCGCGCTGCATCATACGGTTTGCCACAATATCTGATTTTTAAACAGATTTCGAGAGACAAAGCGCGTGAGATACAAATACTTACTAGTTAGAGCGGGACGGCAAGTAATGAACGATATCAGATATCGAGCGACAAAGCGCGTGAGATATAAATACTCACTAGTTAGGGCGGGACGGCAAGCAATGCACGATATCAGATTTTTAAACAGATTTTGAGCGACAAAGCGCGTGAGATACAAATATTACACTAGTTAGAGCAGTATGGCAAGCAAGGCACAATATCAGATTTTTAAACAGATATTATGAATAAGTTAAGTAATTTTGAATCTTAAAATCATGCAGATAAGATCCGTTTTAATTAAATACTACAACGATATTATTATATTTTTATTGTTTTGTTTAGCCTTGAGCCGTAACGGGCGACAAAGCGCGCAGTTAAGTAATTTTGAATCTTGTTGCATTTAAATACGAATTACGATATTAACGATGTCTTTAAATTTTGTTTAGCCTTGAGCTGGATTGCATTGGTACCTAGCACGTAATAGTTAGGGATGCCAACTTACTACTTAAGAATTTTCTGCCAAAATTAAGGAAGAAAAATATAAATGGAAATGTTTTAGGAGGAAAATTTTTTGTGAATATTTTTATTAGTTAAATTTTATTCATATTTTTGGAAAAAAATAAAAGTACACAAAAAGAAAAACTTAATTTAATAGTGCTGTGCTGCTTGGGTGGAAATCAGACCAAGGCTTATGTGCTTTATGTGTATATTTTAAATTCTTCTACCCTAAGTTATAATGCTGAATGTATTATTTCTTACACAAATTATAAAAATATTGTCACTCATGATTGCGTGTTAAGAATATGTTAAAGTCAATTATTAGAGCGATATATAAGATGTTAAAATCAATCATTTTTATATTACTTCAATTTCTATTTTTAATGAAATTTTTAATGTAATCAGGTAATGTTTTAATTTTACCTTAATAGTACAAAAAAATCGTGATTTAAAATTTAGTCAATTTTAGTGGGTTTTCGAATTTATTTAGAAGTATTCTTTTGGAACAGTTGGTATCATTGGTATTAAGTTTTAAATATCACGAACATTATGTATATGGAATGAATCAACTTTTAAATACGCCTGCACAATTTATATTCCGAATGAGTATAAAATATCGTTGAAAACATTTTTCTTTTTTTTTTTTTTTTTTTTTAGAATTCAAGGTGGATACGTGACCGTAAAATATCTAGATATTAAAATACATAGTTTCGAAATCTGATATTTGAAATCGAAATCTGATTCAGATACGGTACTCAGAAAAAGCGATACGAGACCCATCTCTACTTCTAGTATTTGTGCGAACCACAGATAATAGCTCCAGATCTGCTTGTATCTCCTTTATAATTTTCTTTCAGTCTTTAAATCGATATTATGATAGAATGCTATTAGGCTTACTTTACTTAAAGTCATAGCTATGAATTTAAGAAAAATAAGACTCTAGTGTAGTGTGGTTTATCAACATCTTTACACTTACATAAATCGTTTCACTTAAAATAATTAAAGAAACAATTATTTAATTATATTGTAATAAAACGATACGAATTTGATGGAAAAATACAGAAACGAGTCGGAGTCGAGGTATTGTACATGAGAGGGAATGCGATCTTGTATTAACTGATGTTTTTGCTTTCAGTCCCGAGACTATTAAAGCTTCACCTGACGCGGAACCGGTGGGCTAGCCAGAACCCACGAGTTTGGGCCCTCCGCTGTGGGTGGAGCCACGCATGTGATCATGCGTGCGTTTAACTATGGTGTGTCATTAAAACATGTAGAAAAAGTACGAAAAGATTGTCGCCGCTGTGGGAATCGACCCCACGTCTTCGGCATTCGCGGCCTGACGCTCTAGCCACTGAGCTAATTTTCTACATGTTTTAATGTTCAATCTTAAGTGCAGAGATTAGCACTATAAAAAACTTTAAAATTTATGGTGTGTCATCGAGGTCTCTGTTCGCGCAGAAACCCCGATGGCCGTCGACTGTGCAATTAGCTAATCGGTGGCTGGGAGCGGTGAGAACCGCCCCGGAACGCGGGTGTACCTTGTGTACGCGTTGTGTTGGTCTCACCGTGCTTGGAGGCGAGGGCGAACTAGTTGTGGGTGAACTGTTATTCGGCGGGACCCCCGGCGGTGGATCCGACGTATCTAGGTC